GCTCCTCCTCCTCCTCCTCCTCCTCCTCCTCCTCCTCCTCCTCCTCCTCCTCCTCCTCCTCCTCCTCCTCCTCCTCCTCCTCCTCCCTCCTCCTCCTCCTCCTCCTCCTCCTCCTCCTCCCTCCTCCTCCTCCGTCGGCTGGCCCTTGCCGATCGAACCGGCCCCAGCCAGCGAGTCGAACGGAGAACGAATCGGATCGTAGGCGGCCCTGTCTGGGTGTCAGAGGCCACGGGCTCTCACGGAGAGCGTATCTGCAGAGGGCGGTGCGCGAGGGCGAAATCGACGAGGAGCGCATCGGGCGCCCTCGGCCAGCGCAGGCGGGAGGGACCTCGGCTGCTTCGGTCTCGAACCCACTGGGCACAACCCCAACACGCCGGGGCTTTTCGCAATCGGAGATTCACGAGAGGGAGGTTGCCCCCTCGAAACCTGTCTCCGCGTTTAACCTTCTCTTTCTTGCCGCAGCTGACCCGCTCGAGCACCTTCTTGCTGTATTTGACCTTGCCCTGGCCGCTTGCGAGCTGCAGAGTGCAGGCGCAGAACAGGACGAGCAACGATGCACGCACAAACCCCATTGCGATGCAGATTCTAAAGCAAAGACTTTGGCGAGATGCCAAAAAGCTGGCTTGGGCACAGGCCTAAGAGCAAAGGTTCCCAGGTTGCCAGAGACCTTGAGCCACGAACGCTGCGGACCGCACAGGAATCCCGGCACGCTACGTAAAAAAAAAAAAAAAAAAAAAAAAAAAAAACATGCCGACTGGGGGCACAAGATTTTGCTACTCAAGAGGGCGCACGCACGGACGCCGAAGTGACTGGAATCAGATCGCAAGGGGTGGCACTTTGTATACCCAAGGAAGCCGAGAGAGCTGTCAAAAATCCGGCTTGGGAAGCTGGCCTGTAAAAACCGCCACCGAGGAGCCCCAGACAAAGACAAAGGAGACATGTGAAGATAGGCATTGCGGGACGACGTCCAATGACGATGCATCTTATCTAAATTGTTGGATGTCGCTGCTTGTCTGCACGTTCGCAAAAGTAATCATCCAGGAGGCCCTCCCTCTCCCTCTATGCCTCCATTCGTCTCTGCATTGTTCTCCTTCGTTCTTTGTATCCACACTCTCATCCTCCTCGTGCCTCATCCTCATCCACTTCCTCATCCTCTTTCTCATCGTCATCATCATCCTCACCATCACAGTCACTTTCCATCATCACGATCATGATCGCAACCATCCATACTTGTTCATCCTATTCCTCCTCGTCCTCGTCCTCGTCCTCCTCCTCCTCATTATTCTCCTCCTCCTCGTCAAGGCGCAACAATCAGGTTCATCCGTGGGGGTGGAATCCCGAGAACAATGTTTTGGCATGCTTCAGGGTCTTCAAACGGTTGTCTTCCAACGAGGCAGTTCCCTCATTGGAAATGAACCGTTGTAGGGGCCTATGAGGAGGGAGCTTGGGGGTAGGGTGTATTATAACATCGTTGATGACTCTTGGGTTTCAACTGGTCCCCATCCTCCTCCTCTTCCTCCTCCTCCTCCTCTCTTCTCTCCTCCTCCTCCTCCTCCTCCTCCTCTCCTCCTCCTCCTCCTCCTCCTCCTCCTCCTCCTCTCTCCTCCTCCTCCTCCTCCTCCTCCTCCTCCTCCTCCTCCTCCTCCTCCTCCTCCCTCCTCCCTCCTCCTCCTCCTCCTCCTCCTCCTCCTCCTCCTCCTCCTTATACATAACTTCTCCCTGTCGCACCCCGAGGCCAGTTTTTCAGGCGGACTGGGCGTTTCACCTGACTTCCTCACCATGTATGACCCTCAAGCTTATCATTGGCAACACGATCACAGATGGAGGACGGGTCGCTTTCAAAATGTGGTTCCACCACTCAGCGCCGCGCACAGTCGTTGTAAAAAATAAACAAGTGGCACGGATTCAGGGCGGGCCGTTTTCAAAATGTGGCTCTCGCCTTAGCGACGCGCATATTCGATTTCAAAACTTGCGAGGGTTTCACAGATTGAGGGCGGGCAGTTTTCAGAATGTGGCTCTCGCCTTTCGTTTAACAAAAAACTTGCAAGCGATTCACGGATTGAAGGCGGTTCCTTTTCAACTTATGGCTCTCGCCTCAGCGCCGCGCACATTCATGCTTTAATGTTTGCGAGAGCTTCACGGATTCCCGAGATCAACATAACAGAATCGGCGTTATGGAAAGACTCTGGATTACGAGGTTGCAACAGCTAAGTTCATTCGCGGCGTTAAAGTCCCAGGAATGGCATTCTGGCACGATCCAAGATCGTCAAGGCGCAACAGTCAGGTTGATCCGTGGCGTTGGAATCCCGAGAACAATGTTTTGGCATGCATCAGGGTCTTCAAACGGTTGTCTTCCGACGAGGCAGTTCCCCCAGTGGAAATGAACAGTTCTAGGGTCATATGAAGAGGGAGCTTGGATGGATGGTTTATTCCAAAATCGTTGATGCCTCTTGGGTTTACACGGCTCCTCCTCCTCCTCCTCCTCCTCCTCCTCCTCCTCCTCCTCCTCCTCCTCCTCCTCCCTCCTCCTCCTCCTCCTCCCCCTCCTCACCGTCTTCATCGTCCTCCTTCACCTCGTCTTCCCCCTTCCCCTCTCCCTCCTCGACCATTCATTACCCCCCCCCCTCGTCTCCCTCAATCCCTCCCGCCCTGCCCTGCCCCCACCCCTCCCCGCGAAGCGCTGGGGAGTCTCCACGCCCCGCGCCTCGCAGCACTTTTGGGCCTCCGGAGGAGGGGGAGGAGGAGGAGGAGGAGGAGGAGGAGGAAGGAGGAGGGAGGAGGAGGAGGAGGAGGAGGAGGAGGAGGAGGAGGAAGAGGAGGAGGAGGAGGAGGACGACGAGGACGAGGAGGAGGAGGAGGAGGAGGAGGAGGAGGAGGAGGAGGAGGAGACGTCGTGCCACGCACGCCCACCACCCAGGGAGAGGCAGAGCCCACCGCGGGCCGCCAGCGGCCAGCCTGCCGCAAACTCTGGCGGCGGCGTGCCGCGGCGGCCCCTCTCTCTCCAGCGGCACGCCGCGCCCTGCGAGCGGGCAGCGCGCCGCTCCGCTCCGCGGGGACGCGAGGCTGGGAAAGGCTCGGGGCCCAGATCTCCGACGGCGTGCTTTTTGTCCACCTTTCAGGCCCCGCCCGCCCGCGCCCTGTCTCCCCAATTAGGGCTGCCCGCGTCCCGTTTAGCTCTTGACCGGAAGGGGCCCGCTCCCGACCCGCAGACCCCCCCCAAAAAAAAAATGTTTTTGTTCCACCGGCGATTTCCCCAGATAGCTCTCTGAGAGCTACGAGGGCTTCAGAGTACGAAGCCGGAGCCGCAGGGGAGCCTCGGCGCAGCTTGCCTGAACTGGCAGCTTCTCCTGAGGGGCCTGTTGCAAGCGTTTCCCAAGACGTCTGCCTGGAAGCTCTCCAGAAGCTCCTTCGGAAGCTCCTTCCAGGAGCTTCTCGAGCTCCTCCGAGAAGCCTTTGCACGCCCTTCTGGCGCCCTGCGATCTAGGTTTGGGACTCTACAAATTTCCCCGATTTGGACCTCCGGGACCCGTCTTCGGGCACCGGCCGGGGTGAAGAAGTTGCCCCGGGGAAGCGGGCGGGGCTTCTGGGGCCACGGTTTAAAAAACTACTCTGGCGACGTACCCAACCCCTGCGCAATGCGGGGCACGAGTAGCCTGGGACAAGGTATACAAAGGTAATGACGTGACATGGGCACATATGATTCTGCGGGCGGCAATCGTGAGGCTCGCAACCCCGCAGGGATGGCGAGGTCCGGCTCAGATCTGCGTGGTGCCTCACTCCGCTGGACCCGCCAGGAGACTTCGAAAGTGGCGACACTTTCGCAGATCGCAGCCCCCCAAGGACGGCGAGGTCCTGCTCAGATCGCCACCGTGCCTCACTCCGCTGGACCCACCAGCAGCCCGCGAAAGCAGCGACAGTTTCCCAGATCGCGCAGCCCCCCTAAGGACGGCGAGGTCTCGCTCAGATCTGCGCGGTGCCTCGCTCCGCTGGACCCACCAGCAGCCCTCGAAAGTGGCGACAGGGACGGCAAGTTCTCGCTGAGATCCGCGCGGTGCCTCACTCCGCTGGACCCACCAGCAGCCCTCGAAAGTGGCGACACTTTCGCAGATCGCAGCCCCCACGGACGGCGAGGTCTACCTCAGATCTGCGCGGTGCCTCACTCCGCTGGACCCACCAGCAGCCCTCGAAAGTGGCAACGGCTTCGCAGATCGTAGCCCCCCAGGGACGGCGAGGTCTACCTCAGATCTGCGCGGTGCCTCACTCCGCTGGACCCACCAGCAGCCCTCGAAAGTGGCGACACTTCCACAGATCGCGGACACGGACGGCGAGGTCTACCTCAGATCTGCGCGGTGCCTCACTCCGCTGGACCCACCAGCATCCCTCGAAAGTGGCGACACTTCCGCAGATCGCAGCCCCCCAGGGCCGGCGAGGCCTACCTCAAATCTGCGCGGTGCCCCACTCCGCTGGACCCACCAGCAGCCCTCGAAAGTGGCGACAGATTCGCAGATCGCAGCCCCGCAGGGACGGCGAGGTCTACCTCAGATCTGCGCGGTGCCTCAGCAGCCATCGAAATTGGCGACTTTTCCGCAGATCGCAGCCCCCGAAGGACGGCAAGGTCAACCTCAGATCTGCGCGGTGCCTCAATCCGCTGGACCCACCAGCAGCCCTCGAAACTGGCGAAGGCTTCGCAGATCGCAGCCCCCAGGGACGGCGAGGTCTACCTCGGATCTGCGCGGTGCCTCGCTCCGCTGGACCCACCAGCAGCCCTTGAAAGTGGCGAAGGCTTCGCAGATCGCAGACCCCCAATGACGGCGAGGTCTACCTCAGATCTGCGCAGTGCCTCACTCCGCTGGACCCACCAGCAGCCCTCGAAAGTGGCGACACTTTCGCAGATCGCAGCCCCCGAGGAAGCGAGGTCTACCTCAGATCTGCGCGGTGCCCCACTCCGCTGGACCCACCAGCAGCCCGCGAAAGTGGCGACAGTTTCGCAGATCGCAGCCCCCCAGGGACGGCGAGGTCTACCTCGGATCTGCGCGGTGCCTCACTCCGCTGGACCCACCAGCAGCCCTCGAAAGTGGCGACATTTTCGCAGATCGCAGCCCCCCAGGGACGGCGAGGTCTACCTCGGATCTGCGCAGTGCCTCACCCGGCTGGACCCACCAGCAGCCCTCGAAAGTGGCGACACTTTCGCAGATCGCAGCCCTCCAGGAAGCGAGGTCTACCTCAGATCTGCGCGGTGCCTCACTCCGCTGGACCCACCAGCAGCCCTCGAAAGTGGCGACACTTTCGCAGATCGCAGCCCAGCAGGGACGGCGAGGTCAACCTTAGATCTGCGAGGTGCCTCACTCCGCTGGACCCACCAGCAGCCCTCGAAAGTGGCGACGGCTTCGCAGATCGCAGCCCCCCAGGGACGGCGAGGACCTCAAATCTGCGCGGTGCCTCACTCCGCTGGACCCGCCAGGAGCCCTCGAAAGTGGCGACACTTTCGCAGATCGCAGCCCCCCAGGGACGGCGAGGTCTACCTCAGATCTGCGCGGTGCCTCACTCCGCTGGACCCACCAGCAGCCCTCGAAAGTGGCGAAGGCTTCGCAGATCGCAGCCCCCCAGGGAAGGCGAGGTCTACCTCAGATCTGCGCGGTGCCTCACTCCGCTGGACCCACCAGCAGCCCTCGAAAGAGACGAACTTTCGCAGATCGCAGCCCCCTAGGCAAGGCAAGAGGAGACAAGAAGGAGGGCGGGCGGGAGGCGAAAAGCAGGCGGAAGGAGGAGGAGGAGGAGGAGGAGGAAGAAGACTCGACCGCGGTGCCCCATTCGAAACGAATGCCCAACCAAGGAAGGTTGGGAAAAAATGCCGGCGGACGTCATGAAAAGGCTCGGAACGTTGACGCTTGGGGACTTGGACGGTGGTTTGAATGTCGCTCGGAGGAGTGGTGGGCTAGAACCAGCGGCGCGACACCCGACCTTGGCCCAGGCAGGACAGAAAACTGCGGGTCCCTCCTCCTCGTCCTCCTGGCGGCGGCGGTGGCGAATGCTCGGCCATGGGAGTGAGTACAAAGGCCTGGCATTTCGCACCCAGCAATCCCATGAGCTTGTTGGGGCAACAACGTTGGGCTCTCGTCGAATCGATCCCAAGTGCGATTTCGCGCGCAAAAGGTCAAGGAGATATAACTGGCTACAAAAGAATGCAACTTCGTCATCCTCGTCGGTCGAAAATAGAGGATCGAGGTTTTGGCGGGGCGGTCTGCGGCGCTTTGGGGCGTTCTGGTGGGGTCTGGGCTTTGGGAGCTGCACGGCCCTTGCAGGAGGGATAGGAGCAGCCGTCGGGTGGCGCAAACTGCGTGGACTTCGAGCGACAAAGACAGACGAACTCTGCTCATTCACCCGGATCGGTGCATGCGGGGACTAAACGGCCACATACCCCAACTCACGGGTCTCCTGGGCGCTCCTGGACGCTCTCGCGCGCTCCTGCGGTGCGCCGCGCGACTTGTGCAAAATCCTGGGAGGAGTGCCTCGGAATCCGAACTTCCAACATACCCTGCCATGGTTCCAGGGGCTCCTCCTGGGGCTCTTTTGGGGGGAGCGATCTTGGGCGCCTTTTGAGTCGTGTTGGGGGGCACCCTTCATAACGAAACGACGAAGATGGTAACATCATGCAGCAACATAACATGTTTCAACAAGTGTTGCCTCCTGGGCTGGCGCCAAAGGCCTCCAAGACGGCTCAAGAATCTCTGAGAGAAGCCTGCGAGACGTGGGCCCCACGAGCCCTTCCTCCCAAGATAGCCCCCGAGACTGCCCCGAAGAGGTCCCCAGGGGGCCCCAGAGGCTCCCGAGGCCTCAAGCAGCTCCCAAGAGCCCCATGCCATCCCCACTTGGGGGAACAGAAGGCACGGATACCACCACTCCCCAGACCTCTCCTGGGGCACTGTCTGACCAGGCTGCCACGGCGAATCCAGCCGTGGCCAATGAGGGCCCCCCAGGACGCCCCGAACGGCGAGAAAGAAGTAAGGGCTTCGGTATTGATGTGTCTTCTCCTCCGACCACCACCGCCACTCGTCCAGCAGTCCGAGACGCTGCAGCGCCCCGGCCGCACTGTGATCAGACTGGGAGGCCATGGCCGAGGGTGCCTGCTCGCTGCGGCTTCTGGCCGCCGACGCCGGGGCGGGCACGGACACCGGCTTGCCCATCGGCGTGGACAGCTGCCTCGAGCCTGTTGTCGGCGTCCCAGCGAAAGGGCGTGCACTCGCTCCCTGCATCGCTGAGAGAGGGCGCTCGGCACGGAGCCGCCGCACATCCTGGCTGGCTCAGCCGCGCCCGCTCGAGCTGCTCCTCCGTGCACTACCACTGCGACCCTGCCGCGTCGGGACTTCCGTATCGATCTCCACCCCGACTGGTCCAGCGCCAGGAGCTCCGAGGAGGCACGAGCGAGATCACGTAAACGTCCGAGTCCATTTCCTCCTCCTCAGCACGTTGAAGAGGCCGGGCTGCGCGTCCCAGGTGGCCGAGCTCCAGAGCAGCCCGTAGCGCCAGCCGCCCGTGCCAGCGCCGGGGTCCTTGGGGAAGCCAAAAGGTGCCGATACCGCTACTCCCCGGACCGCTCCTGGGGTGCGTTCTGACCAAACTGTCGAGGCGAATCCAACGGTGGCGACGAGGGCCTCCGAGGAGGCCCACAGAGGGGAACGACGGGCGAAGGGTAGAGGCCTGGGTACCTGCTCCTCCTCCGAGTCCTCGCGCACGGCCCACGTGGACGTCCAGCGGAACAGCGGGTCGAGCCTGCACGGCGGGGAGCACAGGGCGGAGGCCTCCCGGCAGGGCAGCTCCGGGGGCAGCTGGGGGTGCCGGCGCCCCGCAGCGTCCACCCAGCGCCACCGCAGCTCGTGGTCCGTCGCCAGCCAGGGGCACCGCCACTCCCCGCTGGGCGGCACCCGCCGCTGGACCTCCCAGACCTCGGGGGGGCGAAAGATCGAGGAGGGGATCGACTGCAGAGCTGATTTGCCCCAGAATATGGTTGTGCTCCGCTGATCTACGGAACATGCCACCTGTTTTGTTCGCAGCTTCGGCGGAACAGCACATGTTGGGGTAAGCCAATTCTGTAGTGGATCCCGCATTCGAAAAGAAGTATCGATGCCGATACTGACACCGCCACTCCAGGGACTTCTCCTGGGATGCGTTGTGACCAGAGTGCTGAGGAGGATCCAGCCGTGGCGAGGAGGGCTGTCCAGGACGAGCAGCGGTATTGGTATCCTTTCCTCCTCACAACATGCTCCAGACCATACACCACCAGCCCTGGCCAGGCCCATCCTGGGCCCTGCCCTGATGTAGGGGCCCTCCTGGCCTCGGCCTGGAGGTCTATGAGAGTCCTGGGCCTAGGATGGACCTGGCCAGGGCTGGTGGTGGTGTATAGTTGACAGTCCCTCCGAAAACCTCCAGCACGCCTCCGCCCGCGCTCTCGGGCGCTGGCGGCGCCGCCGTGGCCTCGGCGCCGAGCCCGCAGCTGGCGGCCGCGCGCGCCCCCGCGGCGCGCCTCTGCGCCCGCAGGGCGCTGCGCAGGTCGCCCCAGCAGGCCCGCCTGTCGGGCCGCGCCAGCGCGGCGCGCAGGCCGGCCGCGACCCCCTCCCGGCAGGCGCCGTCCAGCGGCGCGGCGAACAGTGGCAGCACGATCGCGTTGCCGCGCACGTCCTCGAGGCTCACGACGTCGCCCTGCGCCGCCGCCGTGACCGCGGCGAGGTCGGCGAAGCGGAGCTCCCGCGGTCGGCGGCGCGCGGCGGCATGCTGAGAGCCTGGCGGCCGGCTGGCCTCTGGCGCCCGCCCGCTGATGTGCCTCTCGAGGTCCTGCACCCCGTACACCAGCGTGTTGATGGGCTTGAGAGCCTGCCACAGGAGCTTCAGCGCCGCCTCGTCCATCTCGTTCAGCAGCGCCGGTATCTGCGCGAGGCCCCTCGGGTGTGCGACCTGCATCCCCGAGGTCCGCTGCTGGCTCCCGCTGGGTCTGCTCCCGCCATGGATCCTTGCGGCGCTCGCACCCTCGGTCACCGAGCCGCCAGGCTCCGTCGCCGTCCAGGGGGCCGCGGCTCCGTGCGCCTCCGACTGCACCTCCACCTCCGCCACCAGCAATCGCTGCGGGAACAGCAGCAGCACCGTGCGCACCGGGCCGTGCTGCGTGAGCGGGATCACCTCCTCGATGCCGGCGGCCAGCGCGGGGCCGAACGCCTGCAGGACGGCCGCCTCCAGGGCCGACCACGGCCGGATCAGCCCATGGCTCGAGAACAGCAGCCGCGGCGGGCGCTGCCGGGAGCGCTCCCTCCGCCTCCTCGCCGCCTGGGTGTCGGGCGTCGCCTGCGCGGCGACGCCAGAGCCCACGTCGGAGATCGCCTGCCCCACCTTGGAGATTGGCTTCACGAAGCTACCGGCGACGCCCCTCCCGACGCCCGCCAGCAGCCCCCCGATGCCGTTCCTCTTGAGCATCGTTTGACCGATCCCTATTCCCATTGGCGTGGCCTCGGCCCCACTGGCCGACATACCCACCTAGGTGGGGATGTACGCCTGCTCCGTTGGGTTTCGCATGGCAGATCCCCACCAAGGAGGGTGGACTGGTGGGGCTGAGATACTATGGCCCAGTGGGGATGGAGATAAGCTTGACGATGCTGACCTCTGCGCACCCTCCACCGGCTTCCTCACGACGTCGAAGAGACCCTCGACGCCCTGCGCCAGCGACTTGCCCGCCTCGGCCACGCCGGAGCCGATGGAGTGGATCTGCTTCTCGCCGCGCAGCCGCCGCTGCCGGGCGACGTAGCCCTGGTCGAGGGTGCAGTGGTCGAGGAGCGAGGAAGCCTCGCTGGCCGCCAGGCCAACGCTGTCAGATAGGTACGACACCGCAGTCCCCCAAATCTTCAGCGGCACTCGCGGCAGGTTGAGCAGCGAGCTCTTGCCGAGGCACATGCCGGCGGCGCTCAGGAGGTTCGCGGTGTACTCGCTGAGCAGGCCACGCGCGAAGTCCGAGAAGGACCCGCGGTGGGCGGGCAGCCTGCGCGAGGGGAGCACCAGCGTGGCGCCGTCCAGGGCAAACTGGCCGCTGAGGGACAGCACCTGGAGGGCCGTGCGCAGGTGCCTGGGGAGGAAGCGGGCGCCCCGGAGCCTCAGCAGGCACCACACCGTGAGCCTCACGGACGAGATGCTCAGGGCGTCGACCTGGAAGACCAGGGGCATCGGCGGCGGCGTGTACCCCTCCGCGATCGGCCTTCCTGCTGCCGCGAGCACCTCGCGGACACACGTGCCGGGACTCACCGCGGCGCGGCAGGTGAGCTGGCCCCAGAAGTCGACGAGCGGCCTGACCCACCCGTCGTCCACGGTCAGGTCGGCGGCGTCGAGGGCGACCTCGGCGCACGGCAGGAGCAGCTCGCCGGCGGAGCCCGCCACCTGCAGCAGCAGGCTGAGGCATGGCCGGCCTCCCTCGCCGCGGTTGGCGAACACCGTGGCCGGCTGCTCCCGCTGCAGGAGGCCCAGGCTGTTGTCTCTGCGCCAGTCCGTCGAGCTCGCGTCCACGCGCCCCGGGAGCTGGCAGTCCACTCGCGCCTCCGACACCGCCAGCCGCAGCTGCTGCACCCCTTCCTCCAGCTGGCGGAGTTCCGCGCGCAGCAGCCCCAGGTGCACGAAGAGCAGCTCGCGGGGCTGGGGCGTCTCCGCGATCAGTGACACGCCCAAGTGCCCGAGCCTGAGCTCGAGGCGGGATACCCAGGAGCTCTGGAAGCCCGACTCGGAGAGGGCAGAGTCACCACTGTCGAGCAGCGAGAGGACGGTCCGCGCACCCCTGTGCGCGACCACAATGGCCAGCCGATGCTCGGGGATATCCCGCCGCATAGAGCAGCGGATGTCGCCGACATGGTGCGTCGACCCGCCGATCACCAGAATGACTGCCCGGCCGTTGCAGTCCGACGAAGGCTGCGCCCACCCAAGCTCCACGCTCGAGCCTTGCGGCAGTGGCGCCTCAGTCGTCACTCCCCGCGCGTCCAACGTCCGCACGGAGGCGTGCACGCCAGGCGCACGGCACTCGGCGACAAAGTCAGAGCCCCTGCGGAAGGACACCGCCAGGGCGCCACGCACAGGCGCGACGTCGGCGGTCCAGGCCTCGAAGCCCGCAGCGCCCGCACCATCTGACGGCAGCGCCAGTGGCGCAGACCCCGCAGCCGCGTCGCTACAAGCGACCTGGCCTGACCAGGAGCCACGGCCTGCGGGCCGGAAGCGCAGGCTCGTCGCCGGGGAGTCCTCGTCGCCGTGCTCGACGCCCCAGTGAGACTCGCAGGACTGCCCCGCCGCGAGCCGCAGCACCTGCCCGCCGCTCAAGTGCACGTCCAGGTCGCAATCCGCTGCGTTCGTGAGCACGAGCCGGGGCCGCAAGGTAACGACCTGGCACTGCGCCCCAAAGAGATCCTCTGCACTCAAGTCGTCAGTCTGCAGGCAGAACACGAAAGGTCCGCAGGGCGTGCTCCACGAGAGGCAGCTCCAGCTGGCTGGCACATGCACTCCAGCGCGCTCGGCCAGTGCCTCGCCGCCACACGAGGAGCGCAACGAGAGGCCGAGGCCTTCCTCGAGGCAGCCGCCCGGCAGCAGCGAGACACCTTCCCTGCATCGAGGCAGGTCGGCTCCCCTGTGGCACAGGCGCAGGGCGAGACCGAGAGAGGCGCCCAGCCCAGACCGGTCGGCGAGCCAACACGGGCACGACAAGCGCACCCCACAGCGGCCACGGCATCGAGCGTCGCCGTGGACGGCCTCCACCAGCACGGCGGCAGCGGCACCGTCGGCGTGCTGGCGGGCCTGCAGCGTGTGGCTGGAGGAGCACTCTGCAGAGGCCGGTGCCTCGGCAAAAGCGCCGCTGGCGAGGCTGGCGGTGTCCGACCACGGCGCGCCGTCCCCAAGCCGCACCCGAACGAGCAGGCCTCGGTCGTGCAGCAGCACGGCGGGGCTGTAGAGGTCGAGGCGGCGGAGGCGCGGGAGCCTCACCTCCCGCCACCTAGGTCCGTCCGACTGCGCCGCGGCCCCGTCGGCGTACGCTACGCTGACGTCGTCCACGGGCAGGGCGTTCATCAGAGACAGCACTGGGCGCAGCATCACCGTCGCCACCAGGGCGTCCCCCAGGGCAGACAGGGCAGCCTGGGGCCCGCACTCGCACACGATGCTCACGCTGCTCGCGCCGCCAGCTGCCTCCCCCGCAGGGCGGCAGTCCACGAGACAGCAGGCGACGCCTGAGCCCACCTGGACCGCGTCACAAAAGCATAGGTCTCGCCCAACAGGCCGGGCGCTCAGCCACGTTCTCGCCGCTCCCCGCTGCAGGGCGGCAGCAGGGACTGCACACACGGCATTCGGCAGCAGGACCACGGAGCCGTCCTGCGACGGGCGACGCGAGCCCGGCGCGCCGACGCCCGCCAGCGCGTGCTCCGCCCTCGCGCCCTCTGGCTGCGCCCACCCGAGGAGGGCGGCATCGCACACGGCGCTCCCGGGAACGTCCACCATCAGCACCTCCCGCTGCGACGCGTCGTGGAAGCGCAGGGCCAGCGCCAGGTCCGTCCGGTTGTGCAGCCGCAGGCACATGCCGAGCAGGAGGAGCCGGGAGGCGGGGCCCACGGCGAGCACCTCGGCGACCGCTCCGCCGCCGGGGACGGCCGCGGCCGCGCCCGGCTCCCAGGCGAGCGGCTCCGACCAGGGGCACCCGGGCACGCGGACGCGCAGGGCGGGGGCGGGGCCAGAGGGCACGCGGTCGTCCAGGGACTCGAAGGACGAGCCCGTGGGCCTGGCCTCCACGACCAGGCGCTCGCCGTGCCGCGGGCGCAGCTCCAGCTCCAGGGGGTAGTCGCAGAGGTTGGCCACGCGGTAGGTGCCAGGCTGCGGGCCTGCCGCCGGGGCGCCGGCCGCCGTGGCCGGCCGGGGCTCGCCACCCCCCGAGGGCCGCAGCGGCGAGGCCTGCAGCACGCTGGAGGTGAACAGCGGCAAGATCCTGCAGGCCGTGTCAACCATGCTGGGCTTCACGTTGAGCAGCAGAGGCCCCAGCCCCATGACGACGACGTGCAGCGCGGAGTCCTCGGTGCCCGTCGGTGTGAGGGCCATCTGGAGGCTGAATGGGAAGCTCTCGACGACGGGCTCCCTCTCGCTGGCCCGCGGGTTGAGCATCTCCGCCTCGAGAACCGCGCCGTCGAGGCTGAGCGACACAATGTAGGGGTACATCTGGCAGACCAGCTGCATACCAGGAGGAAGCAGCCTGAGGTGGAGCCAGGCCACGGGCGAGGAGCTGTCCGCCAGGGACACGTCGAGGTCGCCGACCAGAACAGCGAGGGTGGTACGGAACTGCTTCTCGCGCACTTCTGCCAGCCGCCGGGCGGCTGCCTCGACCGCGCCAGCATCTTCGCCGAGCACCTCGCGCGCCAGCTCGGAGGCCCGCTGCCTCAGCGCCTCGCCGGTGGGCCAGAGTCCCGCGGCCACGCCGTCGGCAGGCGCGCCCTCCGTGGCCGGTTGGGCAGCACCCTGCGGCCTGGGCGTGGGCTCGGCCTCGCGCATGATGTCCGCGGCCGCCATGGGCACGGCCAGCAGTATCTGCAGCGCCTGGGGCGCAAGCGAAAGCTTCACCTCGTCCACCCTCACCTGGACGTCGAGGCAAGTCTCGTCCTCGAGCGCACGGCACTGGAAGTCTAGGTGGAGGTGCACCGGCTGGAGCATGTTGAAGCTCTCGCCGTGGGTCGTCGTAGACTGCAGCCTGGTGTGGTCGAGATCTATGCCAAAGACGAGGTCGTAGTAGTCACATGGCTCGGGCATGACCAATCGCATCTCTCCTAGGCTGAACACTGCCGTTCCGAGGCCAGACACTGGAACGTGCACAATCGGGGAGGCGACCTTGACGTCGAGGTGGATCCTGCCTGGAATCTGCTCGCACACTCTCTTTGCCACCTCCTTGGCAGTGCTGGCGTGCGCCACCACAAGCTCCTTGTCAGTACGTCGGGCATGGGTACGGCAGAACGAGGTACGGTGCCCAGCGGCCAAGGCTCTCCAAAACTGACAGCGGCCGCTGCTGCACAGGCGACCCTTTGTCTCAAATGGAAGACCTCCCCGGCGACGCCGACAGCGAGTCCTGTTCAAAACGGACAGGCACTGGTTGGAGGTCTTCGTCCCTCTTCTTTCCGTACGCATTTCGACCGTACTGGCCTTGGACATGTCCACCACGTCCTCGAAGCACACTCCCGGCGGGGGAGCGGCCAGGCAGAGGCCCGACGGTGCCTCCGGCGGCCAAACGAACTCGAGCAGCTGCTCCAGGGCACCAGGCAGCAGGTGCACCTCTCGGCTACACTTAGGTCGAGCATGTCATCCTACAGGCGGATTTTGGAAGAAAAATAAAGAATCGTCGAAAAAACAAAAATAAACAAAAACAATGGATATAAGAACAAAAAAACAAAAACAACTACAAAACAAACAAACAAAAAACTCCCCAGGCTACCCCTGGGTAAGAGTGACCCTGGGTAAGAGTGACCTTTGGTGCGCGGCTTGTTGGGGGCCGCGGGGGAACCAGACACAAGCGCGCAAGACGCTGCTGTCGCATCGCGTTCGGCGATCGAGGGACCCCAGTGGGCCCGCACAAGAGGTCACTCAGGCGAAGGCAGGAGAGCCCAAAATCGAATCGATAAGTCGGATCGGCGATCGAAATGAGTCGGATCGGCAGAACTCGGCAGCCCAGTCGGAAGAAGTCGACTGGGCAGAAATCGGCAGGCAAGTGGGCCTCCACTGAGACATCGGCACCCGCATCGGAGCCCGAGGTCCCATCCGAATCGAACCCGAGGCCCTCGAGACCAGATCGCCTCGAGACCGAGGCATCAAAAGTGGAGCCCTGCGAGGGGCCACCCCAACGTGTGGTCGGGCCTCCAGGGGCTCGAAGCGGAACAGCAGCCGCAGCAGGCTCGCCCCCGCCTCGGGCCTGCTCTCGAGCACCAGCCGGGTGGACGCGGCGGCCTCCTGCGCGGCGCCGCAGGCGGGCAAAGCGCCGGGGCAGAAGCGGAGCATCGTCTTAGCGCCGGGGGAACAAGAAACAGCCGCAGGAGCATAGGCTTTGGGAGCAGGTCGGGCACGCCCTCCCACCGGGGGGACTGCGGAAGAAGGACAAGCAAACGGTCAAGGAATGCTCCAGAGGCATAGCCAAAAGCAGAGTCGGCGGTCTCCAGACGATGCTGTTCAGACTATGTTTTGGACTGTTGTTTTTAGACTATGTTGAAAGAGGGACGCGCCCGACCTAGCTTCAGGATGTCCGCGCCGATCACTGCAGTCCGTGCGGACCTCCGAAAATCCATGTCTCCGCACCTGTTTCCTCTTCGAGCTGTGGAGGGCGCGAAAGTAGCTCAGGCAGCACTCCACGCGCCACGCCACGGAGTCCTGGCCCAGGCTGTCCGTGGCCACGTCCGCGTCCACGTTCCAGTGGGCCTCCTGCAGCGTGAGGCTCAGCAGCTGCCGGCGGACCTCCTCGGGCCAGCGGTCGTCGATGAGCTCCACGGCCATCTTCCCGAGGATGAATTCGAACTTCATCCGCTGGGGCAGGTCCACGGCCTGAGGGAAAGGAAGAAAGCCATAAGCACAAACTTTCGGAGCTCCGCGCGGATCTCTTGGATCGGCGCTGGACCACCCTGGCGGCGCCTCCGGCGCTGGCCCAGGCGCGCTCCGCGCGCCAGGGGGGTCCAGCGCCGATCTGGGAAATCCGCGCGAAGCTCCGAAAGTTGATGTTTATGTCATTTGTCCTCTTCTTATTCTTCGACGGCCTCCACCATGGAGGCGTCCTCCTCTGCGGGCCCCAAGGCTATGCACCACCACCCCCACCACCACCACCACCACCACCATCTCCATTCCTCCCTTCCTCCAGCCTCCAGCCTCCTCTTCCTCTCCTCTCTCATGGGAGGTTGAGGGTGTAATGAAGACGGTGGCGTTAAGTCGGGCATGTCCCTCTACAGGAGGAATGTTCAAGAATAGTCCAGAAATAGTCTGGGGACGATATTTTGAGACCTGTTTCGCCCCAGCCCGTTTCGGTTTCGGCCCGTTTCGGCTCCAGCCCGTTTCGGCTTCCGCCCGTTCCAGCTCCAGCTAGTTTCGGCTCCCGGTGCCGCTGGCCCTATTCGGTTTCGGCCCGTGTTTCGGCACGTTTTTCGGCTCAAGCCCGTTTCGGCTCCAGTCCGTTTCGTCCTGGCCCTTTTCGGTTCCTGCCCGTTTCGTCATGGTCTGTTTCGGCTCCAGTCCAATTCATCCTGGCCGGTTTCGGATCTAGCCCGTTTCGGCTCCGGCGCGTTTCGGCTCTGGCCCGTTTCGGCTCTGGTTCGTTTCGGTTTCGTTCCGGGATGGCTTGGGTAGGATCCGCGATCGGCCGATGTTTTCTTGCATTCGTTGTGGCGTCTACTCGGCCACTGGTTATGAGACTGACGAGCAAGCGCATTGGACACCCAGTTGGTGTTACTCTCCCATCCTTGCCATCGCCCTCGTCATCTTCGCGTCCTGGACGCCAGACCAAGGAAATCAAGGGGGGGCCGATGGGTTGGCCAGGATGAGATTCCATCCTTGCCCCCTTCCACTCCAAGGTCTCCGTGCTTGCCGTTCCTGCGCCCGCTCCGCTCTCTCGGCCTTGTTCTATCCCCCCTTCTGCCCCTGCCCGTCCCCGCGGAGGCAAACGGATACGGCGGGGGATGACGAGGAGGAGAAGACGGAGGACGAGCAGGAATCGAGGTAAAGAGGAGGAGGAAGCGGAGGACGAGGAAGAGCAGGAAGAAGGAAGAGGAAGAGGAGTTTTTTTTCCCCCGCAGTGGACGTCACCCTTCCAGTTCCGAAATCGGTCCATGATTGCCAGCAAACTGGAGCAGCAGCAGCAGCAGAAGGAGAGGGAGGGAGGAAAGGGAGGAAAGGGTACGAGAGGCCAACGCACAGCATGATGCCGCACATCGGCGACTCGCGGGAGGTACCGCGGTACCTCGCGCGCGGGGAGGGGCGGGACAGTCCCGCCCGCTATCGATCCCCCCGTTCGAGAGTCCTCGGCAGCGGGGGGGCGCACTCGGCAACGGAGGAGGACAGAGTCCATGCCCCACAGGCCACGGGCGCTTGCGACCCAGGCCACCGTCACCTCGACCCACAACCCAGGCCCTAGGTAACGCCTAGACAACAGTGAGAGGTGAGCATCCTTCCTCCCAGAGAGGCGCAACGGGCACAGTTGATCAAGTCGTCGATGGGGAGGGCGGCGGGGGCGGCAGGGAGCGGCGGGGCGGGTGCTCGCACGTCCCCGCGCGCGCCCCCCCAACCTGGCGGAGACCCGACCCCAGCAGCAGCAGCACCAGCACAGCGGAGCAGCAGCAGCGAAGAGGACCGAGGGGGAGGGCAGGAAGAAAGGCAGGGGAAAGAGGGGAAGGCAGGGGCGGGAGACAAACCGAGGACCCAACGCAGCCCACCCCGCAGGGGAGAAGCAGCAGCAGGGGCAGGGAAAAGAAGGAAGAGACGCCCGGGAAGCAAGAACAGCAAGCGACAGGAGAAGCAGGGGAACACAAAGAGAAGCACAAGCACACACGCGCGAGAGAGGAAAAGGAGCGGTCACACTCAGACGAAAACACTTCACGTGGCAGCCCGCCCCGCACGCCGCGCCCTGAACTGGCGAGCGACAGCAGTATATCGACGAGCGAGGAGACGCAATCGAGCAACAAAGACCTGAGAAGCGGGGACCCGAGTCTGGCGCCGATGGTGAGCATGAGTCTTCAGGAGGGCATCGAGGACGGCGGCGCAGGCAACGTCGCGGTCGAGTCCCCAAGAAGGCCCCACCAGACAGAGACATGTGAGCCATGTATCGCGGTGATGCCACATTTCCCTCCACGGCGCGGGTAAGGCCTCCAACCCAGGGAGACGGTGCAGCGCCAGGTCACGGAAAAGATCACAGAATTTGTAGTGGAGTAGGTCATCAGGGGCCGCACAACCAAAGCAGCAGCCACGGTCATTCGCATGAAAACGTGCCGAAGTACACACGCCCCTGGACAGTACGCGGAGAACGTTGGTAGCGAGATGAGTGCATGTGGCACGCTCCACTGCGCGCAATCGAGTCCGCAGACGGAACATATCCTCGAGGGAGACTGCAACTAACCACCGCGATACCCGCTCACCCAGACACAGTAAGGGAGTGGCCGTCATACGAACCGAACGTAAGTGACGATGGACCTGGGCCTGGATAGCACGGGCTGTCCGATCAATGGGAGAATTCACAATGTCCGCCGCATCCTCATTCGTCGTGCGCATCATCGAATGGCACCACCGTCCAGAGAACATCCGAGCAGGGATCAAGTCATCATCGGTCAAACAACTCGCTAAGCCCTCTAACTCATAAAAAGCATCGTCTAACGCCTTGCACCGCATCACTACCCGAAACTTCGTTGCTTTGTCATACAGCCCCAGGTCCACAAACTCAAGGGGGATCCCCAGATCACGCAACTGAGTGAGCATACTGTAATTCAACGCATGCCGAGGCCCCGCGGTTAAGATCTGCAGCGCTTCCCTATACTGACGCCGAACCGAAGGGGTGACCCTCACCAGCTGAATCCGATACTGCAAGACGGAGAGGCAGTTCGAGTGGAACATACGGATAGTGGTCGCCAAGCCCAGCGAGAGAGAGCGAAGAAGACGAACTCGCTGCCAGAACTTATTCATCGTTCCCACCCAGGCCACCTCATGGGCCGACGGGCCCACCCAGAATCCGAGGTACAAAACCCTGGAGGCGAAATGGACAGAGGCAAAACGGCTGCCCTTCCGAACCATGTGGGCAGCGAGGGCGTCTCCATCCAGCGCCCCGCAGATCAGGACGCAGCATTTCCCCACATTCAAGGAGAGACCAATCGCGGACGAGAGCAAGTCGAGAAGCAGCAGGGTGAACATGAGATCGATGGGAACGTCACGTAGTCCAAAACAACAGTCATCAGCATAAGCCAATTGGACCCCCACACGCTCGACACGACAGGCACGGATCCAGCGGAGTACAGGATCAAGGGCCAGAGCAAAGAGGGTCATGGAAGCAGGATCGCCCTGCCGCACACCGCGTTCCACAGGAAAAACCGTTTCGGCAGCGCCCTCAAAACAGACGAGGGCCGTATTGTGGGCATACAGGGCTCTGAAGAAACCCACCGTCTCGCTGGGAAGCCCCATAGCCAACAAAACGGCAAAAATCCACTCCACCAGAATCGGAGGGAACGCCGCCTTGAAATCGGCGAATAGGACCCCCGCCCTATCCCGCCCACACATGCGTTGAAGGAGGCCCCATTTTTCCACGTCGACGACATTGCCCAGAATGTCGCGCCCTCGAACCCCACCTCGCCGGGAGGAGTCCACCGTCACAGGGGCGACGTCGTTGAGTCCGAGACAGAAGGCATCGGAGAGGATCTTCGCATCCGTGTTCGAGAGGGAGAGCGGGCGGGTGGAGGCAGGTGCACGCGAGACAAAGTCACTGCGATCACGTGGGTCGCTGCCCTTCGGGAGGAAGACAATACGACTAACTCGACAATCAGGGGGGAGTGAATCTCCTGCACTGTTGAGGACCTCCTCGTAAACCTCGAACAAGGCAGCGGTCGCCTCAGGGACCTTCCAGCACCCGTATGGGGATCCCATCAGGACCAGGAGCAGAATGAAACTCACGGCAGACACGGTCACGAAAATCGCCAACATCAAGTTTCCAACGGGGGGCAGGAAGAAGGCCGGCAGTAGTCTGAACATGGGCCAAGATTTCTTGTCAATGCGTCGGATCGTGATCAGCCTGGGCAAAGACCGTACTCCAATGGGCCACCAGAGCCGCAGTCGCCGCTTCAGGGAAAGCACACGGGGTCCCGTCCTCGTCCAAGACGCCTAAAAGCCCAGTCCTCCTCCTCCTCATGAGATCCCACCCTCGCCGAAGAGCCACCAGCCTCCGCCTCCTCTTGGTCCTCACCTCCTCCACCTGGTTACTATGATCCAACTCCTCCAGCTCCGCATCAAACCATCGCCCCTTCAAGGTCAGTACCAGACTGTGGAGGCCATCAGGATCGGCGCACACGCCGCCGTCGACGTCGAAGAAAGGCAGGAGAGAGGCGTAGCAACGAATGGCACGAAAACAAAGATACCACTGCCGACCCCGCCACCCACGGTATGCCATGAACGCAAAGTGGAGCCGCTCCGCACCGTTGGCCGCAGGACGACACTTTAGGGACTTCTTAAATTCCACAGCAGCCGCACCAAAAACTTCTTTCACCCGTGCGAGTTTCTGGGCAGGGTCCGACGGGAGTGTCAGCTCCCGCAGCTGTTCGGAAACCAACCTGCGATAGTCGGCATGCTGGCTGATCCATTTTGGAACCGAGAACCGACCCCTCAGGGTCGGGAGGGAAGCCGCGGCAGCAACGGGAATGTGATCGGAAGAGGCCCCTGGATGCATGAGGGTGCCGACAGCGTTGACAACGACGGTCATCTCATTGAGGATCCCTGCAGGAAGGGTCGTGTAAATCCGATCAAACCTGGCCAAACCCCGCAACTCCCGATTCACAATATCCCGACGGGTCGGGTCGGGCTGGTATAATTCGCACCAGTGGCTACAGCGTTCCTGAAAAGCGTCACATTGCAGACGGTCCCCAGGCCCAATCTCCCCCGAGACCAGAGACCTACCATCCTCCATCGTACAGAAATTCCAGTCACCGAGAATGAAAACCATAGTATGCGCCGCCGCAGGAAGGGCGGCATTGATGAGGCGTAAGTAACGATGATAGATATGGACATCATCGCACGTGTTAGGCATATGAACATTGACCACGACCAAGTCACCTCGAGGCCCACGACCATGGACGAGTAGAAGCCGCCCAGGAACGATCGTAATCGGAGCGATCGAGTCGAAACTGTCACAGAGATCCGAAGACAGGTAAGTCACCACCCCACCCGCGGTCCGATCATCCAGAAAGCTCCCAAAAAGTTGCCCAGTTCGCAAATCGCCCCGAAGGATAACCAAGTCTGCTTCAGATCCGTGAGTCTCCTGTAAACACATGACCTGATACTGTAAGAACAGCTGCTTAGCCCGAAGGAAGCGTGAACGTGACCGAGACGACCGAGACGAGAGAGGCAAAGAGCGCGCGCGTGTTCCAACTGCAGATAGAAAGAGGACGGGCAGGACGGTAGACTCCACCAGCTTCCCCAGCAGGCGGCGAGAAGGATAAAGCACTGTCACTTGCATGGTGTACAACAGAAGTGGCAGAGAGGGCGGACGAGCACTCAGTAGCCGAACCCACTGGACTTCTCCCCACCGCCCGATCTCCTGTCGAGCCTTTCCGATACTCACCGAAACGGACGAATCTCTGCAAACCTGGAGTGAAGACACTGCGCGTGTTGCTGCCCGCCCACTTCCGTCAGCCCATCGATTTCGACGCCACACTGAACGGTGCCCGCAGTGGGGCCATCATCAACAATGGAAATCTTTACCACCTGCACAGGGACTCCGTTGTCCTTCATCACATAAATCGCACCTCCTAGCCCCGTCGACCCAACCTTGTCCGCCCCAAAGATTCTGGAGACATGCTGGCGCATATTCCCAAGATAGTAGAACAGCTTCCTGGACGAGGGGGGGAGATCGCGTCGAACCCGCAGCTGCAAGTCAGGACCGCCCTCGGGGTTCGGGAAGGGGAACGTGCCCACGGACGAGGCCATCCCGTGGAAAGCAGAGGCCTCTAGGTTGGAAGCAAAGTCAAGGAACACCTTCTTACTGCAATCGTAGGCCTTGACCTGAATCGAACCCTGAGTCGCAGACGGAGCACAGCGGGTGAGGATGCTTTGGGCTGCCTCGCGGAGCGTTTTCTCCATCAACGGCCGAGGGAAGTCAAGTACCACAAGACGCGAGGGGTTGCCCACGAGACCAGAGTCGATCTTCCGACGAACTTGCCTGTCATCATCCCCACGAGGAGTCGGGGTCCCCCCATCAGCGTTCCGAAGGTCCTGGATCTCATCGCGCATTGTCTGGATCATTCCCTTAAGCTCATCGCGAAGGGAGGACTCCGCGGCCTCTCGGCCTCGAATGCACTGAAGAAGAGCCTGCTCATGGATCGCTCGCATCTGATCGAAGTTGGCAGTCGTCTGTTTGGCCAATTCAGTGTGCGCATGCTGTAACGACTGGAAGTTCTTCTCTGCGGCAATCATCTGACCCTGGATTCCCGAAATCTGCTGGTTGATCTCCTGAATGCCGAGACTCAACTGACTGGCCAGGCTGGCGACAGACGACGACAGGGGAGCAAGCATATCACGCATGGCGGCAAGAATCTGCTCGGTGTCACGCTTGGTCTCCATGCGAGTACCTTCAGGCGCAGGCGCAGGCAGGCTCATCCCCCCTGGGGAAGCAGGGGGGGTAGAAGAGAGAGACACAGGCCACGAGTCGCCGCCCTCGGACGGCATCGCGGGAGGAGCGCAGCGAGCGCGAAGGGGCGCGGCCGCGGCAGGCGAGGGGAGCGCGTCCGCTCCCGGCCTTGGTGCCTGGCCACCAGGCGCCTTGAGCCAAAATGGCTTGAGCCAAAATGGCTACGGAAGGAAGAGGAAGAGGAGGAAGAGGAGGAAGAGGAGGAGGAGGAGGAGAGGACGAGGAAGAGGAGGAAGAGGAGGAAGAAGACGAGGACGAGCAGGGAAAAGGAAGAGGAGGAGGAAGAGGAGCACGAGCAGGAATCGAGGTAGAGTGAGGAGGGGGAGTCCCAGGTCGCCGTCGGCCTGCGGAAGCCTGGCCTCCTCGCTGGGCTGGCTCCCGGGCGGCACCTGGGCACCGCTCCCATCGGATCCTGGGCACTGTGCAGAAGAGCTACCTGACACGGCTCCAGGAGCTTGGGGACCTCGACCACGCAGAGGCGGCGAGCACAAGGGGGTGGAGTGAGGGGGAAGGCTTCTCAGAAGCACCCCTGCTTCTTAAAGGCGCGCGCCTTGTCTGTAGGTGTAATGCCGGCGCCTTCTGAGCAGCAGCTTCCTTCTAAGAAGCCCTCCCCCCTCCCCCTACCCCCCTCTGCGCGTGGCCGAACGCAGAGGCATGGGGTGGGGGGCGTTCGCCCGTGCCGGCTCGCGCACGGCGCACTTCGCTGCGGCAGCGATGCCTGCCGGGATGCTGCCAACGCAGCTCCGCCCGTGCCAGGCTGCCTCCGACGATCCTCGTGTTACCGGCGGCTCTGCCAGCATGCTGGGAGGTTCAGCCGAGCGTGCAGGCTAGCTTCCAGCACTGCGTGGACGCCGCTTGCGGACGCGATGAAGAGTGACGGCCAAGGGTCTGGAGCCGGCCAGTCAGGATGGGACTGGGTCCAGGCCAACGAGGAGCGCCAGAATGCAGTTCAGCAGGGAACTAGGTAAGGTCCCACACAGCCTAAGGGAACCAACAACGGGATCGCCCACCACTTGATCGCATCGACGAGCAGTCACGGCAGAGACTCCGGCGATCGGAGCCATCTTGGTGGAAGGCCTCACAGCACGACTAGAATGCGCGGTCGAAACTCGCGGCCTTCATCTAGTACCTCCAACGCAGCACCAACACGGAGCGGGGCACACCAGATCGGAGGTCCTGGTGGGAGAGGTGGGCGGAAACACATCACCGATCGAGCAGGTATGCTACGGCAGTCAATCGGGGAACAAAAAGTGGCAGAAGCATAAAAACTCAGAGCAGCCACCAGCCTTTCTTTCGGCCTCCCGGTGGCAAGCGGAGCTCACGGAAGACAGCCCGACGGGCATGGTCTTCAAGTGGCTGCCCCCCAGGCAGCGCAGGGAGCCACACGACAGGGACAGGACCCCGTAGCGTGCCAGTCGGAGCCAGCCCCATGCGGGACCGCCGCTGGTATGTAGCCCGCTTCAGGCTCAAATCCAGGGCGATACTGCCGCCTACGCGCGCCCGCCCACGGCCCTCCCAGTTCTGAAAGCTCCAGGCGAGGCCATGCACACCATCGCCGGTCGTTGCGTCCGCGCGTGCTGCGTGGCGAAGAAACGTTTAAGGGCTCCCTGGGTATGCGCATACGCGGTTCACTCCGTCACGGCACCGATCAGGCAGTGGTGGTACGGATCTGCTGCACAGTCGATCACTTCCCATCCGAACAGTGGCTGTCAATGCAGAAGATTCCAGTGTGTGTGTGTGAGTGGAACGCGCTTTGAAGGCGCACCTACGCGTTCTGTCTGCAGGGGACTTCGATGGGCGTGCCCTCCAATCCGCACCAATTCTCTGCATGGCGCATCGCATGTGCGTCATTGCCAAAACAGTTGCACACATCAGGTGGAATCAGCTCCTCTGCGAGGCTGCTCGCAATATGCTGGTGATACCATGTGCAAACTGTGGGCTTGCTGCGTCGGCGGGCTGCAGGGGTTGCTAGGCCATGCGGAGGATCCCTCGGGAGGATTGGGTGCCTGGACAACGCCATCCGCTCTGCGTCATGCGTAGTGCGAAAGAGGGGGAATGCCACTTCTGCCGTGGCCCGCTAGACTTCCGTCCTAGGCTCCCGCCCACCTGCAGACCGCTGGACATCCTTCCAGCACGGGGAAGCGAGGCCAACAGAGTACGGAAGCGACATCGTGCTACGGTCGGGTGCATGAGCCCCCTCTGTGACCTCGGCGTTGATCACGCCCATCCTTGGGGAAGCTCGTGCTCAGGGGCTCTCAGCCTGCCCACGCCCCTGCGCTCTGGCTGTGGCGTCGGCGTCGGCGCCCCCCCCCCGCCCTGACGTCGCCGTCTTTGCTCGCTCTCTCCCGCCCCCTGCTCCCGCTCTCCTCTTGTGCTTGGAAGCACCTGTGCATGTTTGAAGTAAGAGCCGTCGAGTCTTTTGCTCCACAGCTTGGTTGTCAATACCTGCTGCACACCACCCATGCGGCTTAGCCGCCCTTGGAGGAGTAGGAGCAGGAGGAGGAGAAGGGATAAGAAGGAGGAGCAGGAGGAGGAGGGAGAAGAAGGAGGAGGAGGAAGATACGTACACATGCATATACACATGCATAGATAGATGTACAGGTGCATGTACATACATATCTATAATTACATATTACACATATACAACTATATATATGTATGCATGTATACATATTATGTGTGTATTCATGTGCGGGCCCCACATCCTCGAGGTCCGCGAGCAACTGCTGCCGAGCCTCTGGCGACAGCAGCACGGCCCTGCCAGGCTCCACGGGCGGGCGCGAGGGCGGCGGCGCGCCCAGGTAGCCGGACACGAGCTGCAGTAGACCTGCCTCCGGGGCGGCCGCCGGGCCGCAGGCCCTCTGCTGGCGCCGCGAGGCCTCGTGGAGGGCCTCCAGCCTGCCGTGCACCAGCCAGCGCTGTCGCGCGAGGAGGCGGGCCGACAGCGCATCCTCGAGCAGCTGCAGGCGTTCCAACTCGGCAGGGCTCAGCGGGCGCGCCTCCCCGCCGGCGAGGCGCCGCTGGAAGAGCAGGCACCGCTCATACAGGCGGCCATACTCTGCAGTCGAGGCGCTGACGTCGGAGAAGATGCTCCTCTCCTCCTCCGCTGGCACCAGCAGGGCGCGCAGGCGCGCCGCCTCCTCCCACACGGCCGCGTGCACCGCCTGCAGGTGCTTGACCTGCGACCGCAGCAAGGTCACCTCCGCGATCTCTTCCATGGCGACCTCCAGCCGCATGCGCAGTATCTGGTCACTGGGCACGTGCGCAAACTTCAGGTCGGCGCTGACAGGGCTCAGCATGTAGTCCGACCCAGCGAGGGAGCAGCTGCTGGCCGTGGAAACACGCACTCCAAGCCCACGCAAGCGCATCAGTTTGTACATCGAGAGGCCCGACACGCTGACCTCCTGGCCCTCGGGCACCTCGCGGAAGGTCTGGTCGGTGGACAGCACGGACAGCGTGGGCAGCTCCGCACCGCAGGCGAGGCCGTTGGACTGGCTCGCCCAGACCACCGTGAGGTCCGAGAGGTCGACGCAGATGTTGTTGAAGATCTTCCTGGCAAGCTTGACGACGTAGCTTGCGCCTTGCCCGCCGCCCTCGGCCGCCTCCGCGCGGTCCCGCTTCTCCTGCAGCAGCTCGCGCAGCTGGGCCTCGCGCAGGTCGATGGCCTTGCGCTTGGCCTCTCGCACCTCGGCGACGACCTCCGAGCGCGGCCTGCTGGCCTCGGCCTCGATCTGCTCCACCTCCAGGTGCACCGACTCCACCCGGGCGCGCAGCTTACCCGTGGCAAGCTTGCTCCATGGCACGGACAGTCTGATCAATCGGATGCTGCCACTGCGAACACGGACGCCCTCGAGGCCGAGAAGCGCCAGCGCGTCCGGCCTCACCTGAAGGTCTTTCAGCTCCAGGGACCCCGCGAACACGCCCAGGCGCAGCTTCTCCAGGGAGATGCCGTCGACGTACGGGGCCAGGTGGCGTAGAAGGAACTGCTCCAGCGCAGCCTTCAGTGGTGAGCGGAGCCCGGCGGTGTCCAGCATGCGGTGGACCTTCCGACAGCGACTGCGGCCAACAACAGTCGACCCGCGAGCGCGAGGCCATGGCACTGCGGCTGGCTCGAAACGGCGACTAGAAAGCTTGAGCCAACAGGCTAATTGCACATGCGCGAAGCTCACACGCAAAGAAACACTGGCTCGCGTTGTGTGGCGGACGCTGCGTTTCGAACATCCGCCGACAAAGTCGGCGTGTGTGAGACGCTGTCATCATCTTCGTCGTCGTCGCCAGTCCCAAGGAAATGTAAGAACGAACAGAGAAAAGAAACGTCGTCAAAGAAGCGTGGTAGTTAATTCGATTCCCTCCCCTGTTCCCCTCGAGCACTGTTCGGAGGCACGCCCACAGGGTCCTGGGGGAGCAGGATCCTTCAGGCTCCTCCCCTGGGGTGCTGGGTAGCAAGGCCCCGCGACCGGTCCCAGGCAAACTACCGGCACGGCTGGGTGTTACACACCTCTCCCTGCTCTTCCACCACCTCCTCCTCTTCCTCCTCATCCTCCGTGGAATGTGAAAGTACGGTCTTCACTCCCGCTACCAACCTTGCCAGACTGCACGACGGTGTGCGCACATGGCGACCAGAGCAACGAGTCTAGCTGCACCATAGCGGAATCCTGCTGTACAACAGCGTACAGACGTTTGTTCAGGCGTTCGGTCCTCAGGCATGCTTTCTAGAGCTACGGAAGGAGCAGGAAGAGGAGGGAGGAGGAGGAGGAGGAGGAGGAGGCAGGAAAAGAGAGAGAGGGAAAAGTAGGAGGAGGAGCAGGAGCAGGAGCAGGAGGAGGAGATGTAGATGGAGCAACGAGGGGGAGGGGGGCATTAGGAGGATAACAACGAGCAAAGAGGAGAAGGAAGAGAACGAGGAGGAGAAGGAGGAGGCAAAGCGGCAATAGGAGCGGGAGCAAGAGGACGACGTCAACGATGACGATGACGACGACGACGACGACGACGACGACGACGACGACGACGACGACGGCGACGGCGACGAGCCGTTCGCCTCGGCAGGGGCGTAGCCGAGCGCGCGGCCGTTGTCTCGCACGGCCAGCCGGATCAGCTCCAGGTCCCCCCGCAG